GTAATCGAGACACAGTCGTCCCTAGCCTAAGTTACTATTCGGAAATCATAAACCCTGGATAACATTTTTCCCTGATTCTAACATTATTTAAGGCTATTGGTAGAGATTCACAGAATAAGAGAATATTGTAACCGGGAGATTGCCACACAGACCGTATACCTATCGCTGTATTTTCTTTTAACAACATAGGTGGTTACGATGGCAACGAGTTTCTCTCCAGTGTGGAGGTCTATGACCCCTCCCGCGACACGTGGACAAGAACTACTGTGATGCCCTGTGGCAAGTCGGGTCACGCGGTGGTCACGAGTAGAGAGCCAGTGGCAGCCATCGCTGCCTCCGCCACCACCTCCACCTCCCCCTCTGTTGTGAAGTGAAGTGGTTTTCCTTTCTTCCTTCCCAGCGTCCCTTTGTACAGTCTCCTCCTCCCTCTCCCTCCCTCGCCTTCTCTGCACTGAACGAACACATGTGACTGTTTTGATGTTCCAACTGGTCATCGGAGTCATGTTTGTACACAAAGACCTCATTTGTCCTTTTTGCAGCAGTCCGCTCATTCACTCATTTCCTCATATATGTGGTGTGTATGTGTGCATGCGTTAATGTGAGCGGTTGCATCCTTTCTCCCCTCCACCTGACATCTCTAGCTCGATTCGGTCTGTGCTGTTCCTACGTACGCACGTACACATCAGTAGACAGGCAGACAGGTAAGCGCATTCACTACCTCCGAGGCTACAACCAAATGTTTCTGCCTATCTCAATCTCAATTATATTCCTTTTTGTACGTAATTGGATGGAGTTTTTCTGATGTTGTTGTGGTGTGGAGTGAGTGGAGTTTTCCGAGTCGGGTACCTAAAGGGTGGAGGGCCACGGCAACGCCGTACAGGTTGGATACGCGGTGTCTATTTGCGGGGTTGAGGGGAAGCCTTGTTACTTATCTTTGGTTGTGTTACGGTTTTTAGATGTTAGGCGTTTTACAAGGAGAAGTAACCACAGCAGTTCCCCAAGGAATCGCACCTGCTTGACACTTGTTGTTGATGTTCTTACTTTCTCTTGTCCATCTTTTGGCTAGTTTTGTAAGCGAAGTCGCTTTGAAGACGGAAAGAAGGACCTTAGGGTGAGTGCTGGTACCGCTTCTATCGGCGCCGGTTTTGAATCCTCATTGAGTATTGACTATGGCAGAGAGCGGCCAAGGCGTGAGAGAAATGATGCTCTGTGGACATCGGAAGAGATGGATCGGCAAACTATTGGTCTACAGACAACTAAACATGGCTACTTGTGGGATTGAGTTATGGCTATCTCTCTGGTCGGTCAGAAGGACCAGCCAACCCGTCAGCTCGTGAATGCGGCTGTACTTGACAGTTTAGCCGTGTCTGGTCTTTCACCAGGCTCGAGCGTCCCGATTGGTTGTCTTGAGTGGAGCCATTGTCCACGTGTACGTGTTATTCGTAGTCCTCTATCATCCGCACTATCACATTTATAATGCTTTAAATGTTTGTTTAACACTGCGTTTTGATTCCACAGGCACTTGAGGGCCAACCATTGTACTTCTGTTCGTCAGCATGGTCCAGAGACCATGCCGATGTCTTTAACTCTTCTCTACGTTAATAATATATCTTTTGCTATACTCTTATAACTTCGTAGCGTCCGTAGACTTCCATGATGATGAAATGAGACATAGTACTCGGACAGAATATATATTGTCAACATACAGAAAGGCTTGGAGTCTACTGGGATGGTCCGGAGGCCAGACCCTTCCGGTGAAGGTAAAATGATGGAGAGCACAAATGACCTGTTTTCGAAACCTGGGGCTCCCCTTGGCCTATCTCGCATGTCCACTATCGCAACGCAGTTGGTGCTGTAAGGAAAGACTTACAAGCCAAACACTCCACTGATTGAGTTAGCGCACAAATGGGAAGATACTCGATCCCAACGTCACTGATCCCTCTGGGCCATTCCACTAGTTCTGGAGTTTCGTCCTGTCGGGGAACTGTATTGGGGCAAGGGCAAATGAGCAGACCACCACATATACCCACCGCTAGTCGTAGGAACACTGGCCCAAAAGTGGGGTTGTATAACAAAGGACGGAGTTTAACATAGTACCGTGGGGATAAGATTTCGCATCTATTCCTCTTTGCCGCTTGGTTCCTACATCAGTGCTGTCCAGCCACATCCATCTGGGTTCTACTCAGCTATTAGGGGTGTGGGTGAGGTATTGCGTGGTCTTTTAATTGACATCTTCATGCAGGCATCACAGACAGATCCATAATGAACTTTTCCAGATGGTTCACGGTTGGTGTCGACCACATAACTGGAGTTGTTTGCAAAGTTTGACGTCATTTTCATCCATTCAGCTAGGACTCTTCACAGGTTTTCGCATCGGTGTCGGATGCCCTTCTTCAGGCACAATGTTTATCATCCAGTAGTAAAAATCAGGATAGTCGTCCTTGCCGCTGCCCCCGATGTAGCGCCCCGAGATCTCCCTGAAGGTGAAAGTAGACAGTACTCGTTGACATACGGAAGGGCTTGGGGGCTACTGGTATGAGAGTGCCAGTATGGAGGCTGGTGGTGTGGCTTCGAGACCGGCCTCCCTGAGTTGAAGTACAGCCTACGGAGACGAAAAATCACGATGTTAGATCCCCACAGCAAATCTCGCTAAATATCACCGAATTCCCACTACTCAATTTAACTAGCTTGAATTTAAATTATTGTTTACTTCTGTATGGGTACATTTTTTATTTTCATAAAACTTGTTATTCTATTGCACCTCCTACGGCGTCTCCCGAGGTCGTCATAAGCCATGCCAGAACAGAGGAATATGTATTTATGCCCAGAAGAGCCGAAGACTATTAACATGGTCTGTAGAGTGAGGACCTAGCGTAGCTAGACATTCAGTTAAACAACTATCAAAGCGCCACAATATGATCTGCGTAATTTCCACAACTGTTGAATGGACTTAGTTCAATTTAAATAAGTCAACATCAACAGAAGTTATTACACTTCAGGATTGACTATCAAATCAACACCCCTCTAAAATTAGAATCAGGGAAAGGAAAAGGGGGCTCCGCCATAGTATCTTAGCTGGTTGGACCGGCTTTTGGATCATGCCAAGAGCCCCATCCCTTCTGCATATCGACAGCATTGTCTTCTTTCCTCTAAAGGGGAGTCTCAGGGCGCTAAATTGGTGGTAGCGGTGGGATGGTGTAGCGATTTGGAGGAACGAGGGGCAAGTACATAGGGATGCCAAAATAACCAAAGGTGAATGGCAATGTAATCCAAAACCGATACGAGCGGCGGACGGCACTTGGGCTCCACTGAGGCTTTTTGAAGAACGGTTTTACTGTAATTAGAGTGGATAGTAGAGGCCATATAGCTTAATGCGATTCGTATGGGATACGTGTATTTAGTAATAATGAAGAAAACATCGAGCGAGTAAGTTCGAGACGACAAAAGAATAAACGTCAATATGACAATACATTTAATGCCAGCCCAGTAGTTTCATAGTGCTTTCAATGCTGTCAGTGAAGTCGTTGTGTTGGCGACAGACACAAAGGCTATCAGTTGATTGGTGGCGCGCACGTTTGGGTGTAACAATTTGGAGCCGGAGTCGGAATTGACGCCATAAGTGAGTTCCAGCCCATGAGAAGTCGCCAACTGTTGGACGAAGTTCACATCATTTATGCACTTACAACTGTGGTGCATAGAATCTGTCGGTGATTTCGTATAGTTGGGTAATCAATGTTGTATCAGCGACACGACAAATTCTGCCGGAAAGACGTCTCCAGCGCCGCATATACACTGAAGAACATTTCGCCCACACCGTCATGCATTACATCGCGCATAGTTATAGCCAAAAGAATGGCGGACGAAACGATCCTCTTCTTTACATGATGACAAACACAGATGTGATTGCACGTGCTGAGCATAAAATTTCAGTCGACCAGTGACCTAAGGCATTTCCTAGGATTTGTCGAGCAAAACACGTGGCACGGTATTGAGATGTCTAGCAAATCCTCCCGTTATCTACCAAGCCATATCAGAGGTGATACTGCACATAAGTTGAATCGGAGCTTCGGCATGTGCGAAAGCAGGAGTGAAAAATGTGCCAAATATTTCTTAAGGAACACCGTATCCGCCTCCTCCAAGTGGCTGGCCAACTTGCTGCATCCGTCCTTGAGCAGCGACGCTGCCAACTCCTAGCAGGAGAAATCTCAGGGCACTAAACTGTTGGCAGCGAAAAGGACAGCTATCCTGAATTCTACTGCTGGTTGGCAAAACATGGCGTAATGGAGGAAGGCCGTATACTGCAGATGGAAGGATCGGTGATAATCCCTGACTGAAGGGTCGAAAATGAGGTCCACCTTCGGCGACTACCCCTGCCCGTGTTCAGCATGAATATATTTACCAAATAAAGTAATAACCATGATCCAGTTAAAAAATTCCTTACGACACCGTCCACAGTGCCGACATGGATGGTAATGAGGTAAACACGCTATAACTCCACCACTTCTCAACCAGATGGGTGGGACCCAGGCGGATATAGCGAAGCATGACAGAACTGAGAACAAAAGTGCGAGAAGGAATGGATGCAAAATTCTTTACCCATTAAATCATGCTAAACCTCTGCCTGTGTTATATATGTAACGTCCCGGGACTTCCCTAAAGACGAAAGAAGATACAATACTCGGGCAGAATACACATAATCAGCACAGAGAAGGTGTCTGGTCTACTGGAATGGCTCAAATGGCAGCCCACTTAGCGAGGTACAGGAAGGCCAATTCAAAGTACAAAAGTGGCGCCCTACCAATATCAAAGGATAAACCACCATCGTATTGCATATAACTCTACTTTGATGCTACACACAATTTCTACACAATTTCTGAACACGACAATACTCTAAATCCAACAGACCTTTAAGAGTGGTTTATGGCATTGCGGCCAAATATCTTCTTGGTTGTACAAAAATTCAATAACCGGCGCAGCTGCTTCCCGGGTGTTTTTCTTTTAGCACCAATTAAGTTGCAATAGCTGACTTGGAAGGAAGATTAAGGAGAGCGCCGAAAACAACGCTCAAAAGAAGAGAGGAACTGTGCAATACTATGGTTGCTGGTTTAACACTCACTTTTGGTAATGTAGCGTCCCGAGACTCCCTTAAGACGAAAGAA